CACACAGTACCTGCGTGCTCCGCTGGGAACCAGACCTCAAAATAGGTTTGCAGAATTAAGATGAGAAGCCGAGCTCAACCCGGCCTCTGAGGAGGCCCGGGGCAGACCTGAGCAGAGAGACGGAGGAAGTCAGGCGGCCACCAGGGTGCCGGAGTGCGCGTTACACCGCGCTACCAGCGTGACAATCCATGCCGCAATGACAGCCTAGACCCCAGAGACCCTGGAGAGGCAGGGGGAGTTGGGAGTGCGGCAAGCCCGCACCAGCAGGGACCACCGGGAGCAGCTGGTCCCGCCCCTCTTCTTCAGGAGGGTGAGCCAGTCGCCCAGCCACACAGAGAAGGAGGGGCCACTGGCCGGCCGGTCAGCAGCAAGCAGTCGGCTCCAGGCCCTAAGGGCTTCCAAGAACTCTGAAGGGTGAGGAGGGCCGAGCTCTGGAGGCCGCTGGGTGGGTTCAAGGGGAGCGTTCAACAAGCCCTTCTGGTTTTTTTTTTGAGATGGAGTCTCGCTCTGTCGCTCAGGCTGGAGTGCAGTGGCGTGATGTCGGCTCACTGCAGCCTCCGCCTCCCGGGTTCAAGAGATTCTCCTGCCTCAGCCTCCCAAGCAGCTGGGACTACAGGCGCTCGCCACCGGCCCAGCTGATTTTTGTATTTTTAGTAGAGATGGGGGTTCTCCATGTTGGTCAGGCTGGTGTTGAACTCCTGACCTCCGGTGATTCTTCTGCCTCAGCCTCACAAAGCGCTGGGATTACAGGTATGAGCCACCACGCCAGCCAGTTTTGTGTATTTTTAGTAGAGATGGGGTTTCGCCATGTTGGTCAGGCTGGTCTCAAACTGCTGAGCTCAGGTGATCTGCCCGCCTCGGCCTCCCAAAGTGCTGGGGTCGCAGGCGTGAGCCCCCACACCTCGCCTTTTGTTTTGTTTTTAGCTTTGTTTCTGTCACCCAGGCTGGAGTGCAGTGGCACAATCTTGGCTCACTGCAACCTCTGCCTCACAGGTTCAAGCAATTCTCCTACCTCAGCCTTCCAAGCAGCTGGGATCACAGGCGCCCGCCACCACACCCAGCCAGTTTTTGTATTTTATTTTTTAGTTGAGGCAGGGTTTCATCATGTTGGCCAGGCTGGTCTCGAACTCCTCACCTCTAGTGATCTGTCCACCTCGGCCTCCCAAAGTGCTGGGATTACAGGCGTGAGCCACTCACCCAGTTCACCCGGAATGCTCTGATCCACTGGGATATCTTCTCATCTTTCAAGTCTCAACCCAGCGCTTCTTCCTCTGGGAAGCCCTCTTGGACTCCTCAGGCAGAGGCTGGTATTTCTTTTCCCATGTGCCTGCGACAGCCCGTGATTTCCTCTCTTAACACTTACTTTTTATTTTAAAAAATTTGAGGGGGAGACAGGGTCTCACTGTGTTACCCAGGCTGGTCTCGATCTCCTAGCGTCAAGTGACCCTTTTGCCTCGGCCTGCCAAAGTGCTGCCGTTGCAGGCGTGAGCCACCGCGTCCGGCCCTCTCAGCACTTCCCGCCACGCGAGCTCTCACACGTCACCTGCCTGTGGTGGGAGAAGCCTCTACGGTGACGCGCCGTGATCCCTGCCTCTTGGTACTTTCCGTGTACCTTGAGGACTTGAATGTACCTTTTCCTTGAATGTGGGCTGGACTAATTGACTCATTTTTAAATTTATTTTTCAAAGACAGGGCTGCTCTGTTGCCCAGGCTGGAGTACAGTGGCACAATCCTAGCTCACTGCAGCCTCAAACTCCTGGGCTCAAGTGATTCTCCTACCTTAGACCCCAGAGTAGCCAGGACTCCAGGCGTGCATGGTGGTTTATCAAGACAGGGGAATTGCAATAGAGAAAGAGTTTAATACACATAGAACTGGCAAAATGAGATACCACAGTTTTATTATTACTCAAATTAGCCTGCCCCAAAATTCAGAGGCTGGGGTCTTCTAGAGAGAGTTTGGCAGGCAAGGGGCTAGGGAGTGTGTGCTGTTGATCGGTTGGGGGTGGGTGTGGAAATTGGCCCTTGTGCTCTGAGTCAGCCTCTGGGTAGTGTCCATAGAGGAGCTGCTGGTTGGGATGAGGCCTTCTGGTCATCAGTAATGTGAAACCCTGAAAAGAGATCTCAAAAGGCCAATCTCAGGTTTTACAATAGTGCTGTTGTTTACAGGAGTAACTGGGGAAGTTGCAAATCTTGTGACGTCTGGAAGAGTGGCTGGTGATCATTTCACGACACCCACATCTTAGACGGATTCCTGCCCCCTTCACCCTCCTGACCCTGTGGCCTTTCCTTAGTTTTACAAAGGCAATTTCGTTTTGGAAGGGTCTCTTATCATTTAAACTCTAAACTAAATCCCTCCCCAAGTTAGCTTGGCCTACACCTTTGAATGACCAAGGGCAGTTTGGAGGTCGAAGGTAAGATGGGGTTGATTAGGTGAGATTTCTTTCACTGTCATACGGTTTTTACTGTTATAATTTTTGCAAAGGTGGCTTCAAATATAGCAAGAGAAAGCCAACTGTCATTTTCTTGTATCCTAAGGATAGGCCCTTGTGGCAAGGATGCCTTTAGCCCACAGTCAGCAGGTACTTGAAGCTGGTCAGCTGCCACGTGAGTGACCTTCAGAGCAGGGCCTCCCCAGCCACGCCTCTGAGGTGGCCGCAGCCCCGGAGATCAATTGATCACCTTGTTGTGGCGCACTGAGTCGGAGGCACCCAGCTAGGCTGCGCCTCGATTCCTGACTCACAGAAGCTGTGAGACAACAAATGTTCATGGTTTTCAGCCTCTAACTTTTGGAGTAAGATACTACACAGCAGGAGAGAACCAGCACAACTGTCTTCTCCGGGATCATGATTCGTTCATCTCTAGATCTGCTGGGATGACTCACAGGACAGGGAGAAGATCCTGCAAGCTTTAGAAAGCAAAACAAAACAAAAAAACCGGGTTTCACACAAAGGATCAAGAATCAGGCTGAGCACGGTGGCTCACATGGTACTCACTTTGGGAGGCTGAGGTGGGAGGATCACTTGAGCCCGGGAGTTTGAGACCAGCCAGGGCAACATAGCAAGCTGTGTCTCCACTAAAATTAAAACATGTATACTAGCTGGGCATGGTGGTGCACGCCTGCAGTCCCAGCTGCTGGGGTTGGGGTGGGGTGGGGGGTGCTGCGGCGGGAGGATCACGTGAGCCCAGGAGGTCGAGGTTGCAGTGCGCCCGTATTGTGCCAACGCACTCCAGCCTGGGCCACGGAGGATGATCCTGTCTCAAAACAACAAATAAAAAGAATCAGAATGGCATCAGCCTTCTCAACAGCAACTCTGAATGCTAGAAGGCAGTGGAACGGGACCTCTACATTTCTTTTCTTTTTTTTTGAGATGGAGTTTTTCTCCTGTCGCCCAGGCTGCAGTGCAGTGGCGCCATCTCGGCCTTCTGCTTCCAAGCGATTCTGCTGCTTCAGCCTCCCAAGTAGCTGGACGACAGGGTCCCGCCACCATGCCCGTCTAATTTTTATATTTATTTAACTCACTGGGGTTGGTAGAGACAGGGTTTCACCATGTTGTCCAGGCTGGTCTTGAACTCCTGACCTCGTGATCCCACCCGCCTCCCACAGTGCTGGGATTACAGACGTGAGCCACTGCAACCGGCCAGAATCTCTAAAATTTCTTTTTCGTCGTTGTTTTTTTACCAGAGAAAGCTATTTTAATTTTCTATTAAACATTCTTCCAAAAGCATTATTTTATCCCATACCTCACTGAATTGTAAGAAATAACGTTAGTATTAGAAAAAGTAGGAAAAAAGATAAACAATGATAATTACACTTATAAGAAAAATGCAAATTACAACAAAGGACTAAGAACCTCATGTATTTATATATGAGATTATAATTTGAAAACTGTGTATCTCAAAGCAAACTTTATTGTTCAATTATTCTGTTTTTTTTTGAGACAGAGTTTCGCTCTTGTTACCCAGGCTGGAGTGCAATGGCGCGATCTCGGCTCACCGCAACCTCCGCCTCCTGGGTTCAGGCAATTCTCCTGCCTCAGCCTCCCGAGTAGCTGGGATTACAAGCACGCGCCACCATGCCCGGCTAATTTTTGTATTTTTAGTAGAGACGGGGTTTCACCATGTTGACCAGGATGGTCTCGATCTCTTGACCTCGTGATCCACCCACCTCAGCCTCCCAAAGTGTTGGGATTACAGGCGTGAGCCACCGTGCCCGGCCCAATTATTCTTAATGCTAGTGTTTTATGACTAATACACTTATTTTTCAAGAAGGAAACCCATTTAAAAATATTTTTATTTTAAAAATAAGCCTGTGTTCAAGCTCTGATCATATTTCTTTTATTTCGGTTGGGGAAGAAATTACTGTTTCTGGTGGCATGAAATACAAAATCTTTAGATTTGTTTTAATCTCACTAATTTTAAGAACTATTAATGAGAAATTGATTAAGGACATTAAGTGCACAACACTAATTACTGGTCAGCTATTGGTTTTGTGTTTCTTAGTTCTCCCAAGGAAAACTCTTAAATTGAATCTTCAGCAGAATAATCCCTAAATATACTTTGTAAGCAAAACAGAGCTTTTTTCTTTACATAGGCTTTTGAATTTCACTGTTCCTAATTTTATTCTGAAACTCAATTTTACCCAGACTATAATTACCATATTAACTTTGTAATGCACAGTTGTATGCAATTCAGCAAAGCACTAGTATACCAACGGGCTCTATTCACCCAGAACCTAGGAAAAACAGGATTGGTCACACCCATTTAAAAACAAATCTATTCCACACGATTTGCCAATGTGTAGTCTTAGTCTAAATTCTGACAATGAAATATATGGATATATATGTCTCTTCTTGATTTTCAAAAGTAGCCAAAGGGAGTTCACAGCTTAGCTCTGCCTGGCTGAAGCTGAAGATTTTGTAACTTCATAGCCAGACCCATGTTGCCAGTGATTTTCAATTTGCCTTGAAAGAGGGCGGACTGGGGATTCATTGTACCAGTCATTAAAGCCAGTAAGTCTAAGTCAGCCACTGATGGCGCGGTCAGCCTTCCTATCTCTTCAGCTTTCCTGTCAATCCCCTTAAAGACAAGATTTGCCTTAAATCCGTCACTTGCAGAGCTGGTTGGAGCAGCTTCAATCTGATGCGTTCCAAAAGACCTGGCGGCTTCGGGAAAACCCATCTCGTGGAGTGTTACGACCTCAGCTCCTCCAACGCCCAAATTATGCTCCATCTCTAAATTTCTGAGGGAAAATGATATCCCACCTACGGCAAATGTGAGTGTGAAACGCTTTCAGAGAAGTGCCCAAAAATGGACCTCCCGAGCAGCCTTCTTTTTTCCCAGGACTGCTGAAGGTGTGCTCTGCCAAAATGAGGGGCTAAAACAAGAAGGCATGGGGTCCAGGAACCGCGAGCAGCTGCAGTGAAGAGCAAAGAACTCTCTAGACGATGGTGAAGGGAAATCCCAAGACAATAGCTGTGGCCCAGGCCTGGAGCAGAGCAGGGGGCTCTGAGACGGACTTCTGGGGAGATGGAACCGAACGTTTTGAGTATCTCCACTAAGGGGAGACTCTGGGGTTGAAGTAGTCACAAATACACGTACTAGGCAAACCAAAAAAAAAAAAAAAAAAAAGACATCCTTGGTTACAGTTGTAAAAAGATAAATTTAAAAAAAGACAAATTTTTATACTTATCATTCCAACCGACAAAAGGACAATTATTAACTGCAGGATATATGAAATGTCATGCAGGAGAGTCATCCTAGTGTATAGTACACTCGCCGTGCAGAGCGTACAGAGTGTATACCACACCCGCCGTGCAGAGCGTATAGTGTACACCACACCCGCCGTGCAGAGCGTATAGTGTATACCGCACCCGCCGTGCAGAGCGTACAGAGTGTACACCGCACCCGCCGTGCAGAGCGTACAGAGTGTACACCGCACCCGCCG